TTAGACACCAGTCTATGTGGAAGGATTGTATTGAATGCAGAGCTAAAGTCTACAAAAAGCATCCTCACATAGGTCCCCCGTTGTTCCAGATATATATGGTCTAGCACTGTGTCTCTAATAATTAGATATATAAATATAAATTCATTAGTTTTTCAAACTTTCTTCCTGAAAAAGTTAGTTCATGATCAAGTATCTACTCAAAATCTTCTGCAATAACACTGTCACAGGAATTCATTCAGTTTTTCTACAACCACCTAACCTCCGTTACTACCATTACTTGCCTATTTCTCTTTCTGTCTCTCTCTCTTGGTCATTCGGTCTGCCTTTCTATCTTTTAATTGCTGGTCTTCATGTGTTTAGCAAAGTGCTCTACAAATTATTTTCTTTTATACATCCTTTGTTTGCAGATCTGGGCTGCAAACATCTGGATAGTATGGAAAACTCTTAACTCTTTGCTGCCATCTAGTGACTTTTGCAGCCCAAATCTGGTAGTCCTATCCTTAATTGTGCTGGTGTCGCTTCTGTAAATATCATTGTTTCACCTTTTTTCCTTGTTTAAGCAAGACTTCCATTTCCTGAAGGAAACCTGTTTCCTGCTAATAACTTTCTTGACTGTGTTTATTAACAATGCTAGTGACTTTGGGACTCAGTCATGTCCAGTAGTCTGGAGAGATTTTATCTTTTTGACTATCTCTTTCAATTTCCTTTTTCCTAATCTCCCTTCTACGGAAATTTTGTCTTTTGAAGTCCAATGCCGGTGTATCCCCAGAAACTTCTTATTGAGACTCAGTGTTTGTAGCTGTGAATTTAGGAAGCTGGTTCAGTATGGCTGAAAAAATGTATGCATGCTTATTTTCAGTAAGTTAAATGGAAATCTATGTTGAAGAGGCTGACATGTTGATAAAAAATGCAAGCATCTTGCTGTAAATCTTCATACATTTCCACTCTTTTTAGATTCTTCAAAGGGCAAGCATTGAGGTGAATGAGAAAGGAACAGAAGTTGCAGCTGTCAGTGGATCAGAAATCATGGCATACTCGTTGCCTGATATTATTCGGATAAATCGGCCATTCATTTTTATGATGTACGAAGATAATACCAACGTTTTATTGTTTGTGGGCAGGGTTACTAACCCTACAGAACTGTGAATAAAAAACAATAATTTCTTTTTGATGGATCCTATTTCTGGGACATTCCCGCTCTCCCCCCCCCAAGTCAAACTACATGTTATACTAAAAACACATTTTAAGCATGCTGTCACACCAGCTTGTTAATTTTCAGGAAAAAAAAAATAGGCATGTAGGAAACAGGTAAACATTTTCCTTCCTAAAATATTTTCACCAAAAATTCCCTCCTCAACACAATTTTTTCCTCTAATGCTATTATACACAAGCAAGCAGTATCTTTCAGGAAAATAGGATTAGAACAAAAATTAAATGGAAGAAATTACATTTACTGCCCACCCCCCACCTTCCCAAAGCACTCAACACTAAAATAGTAAAAGGAGTGGGGTCAAAAACTCCCACATCCATTGTTTGGGCAATATCTTCATTCAGACAAACCAAAATGTCAAAATAATGTGCAGGTTCTCCAGAACTATTAATATAAGATATATAAAAACAGGGACATGATTTTGGGGAGAGTGGGAGGGCAAAAAAGTATAATTGGTTCAGATGTTATGGTCTTGAGGTCTGCATTTTAGATATAGCTGAGAATTACTGCATTTTTTTTTTTTAAAGTGTGCTCGGTGTCTTATAGAGTTTGCTCTTTATTGCTGTTAGAAAGTAGTTAGGTCCTTTTCTAAACCAAGAAGGGAAGTGGGCAGTAGGAGAGCTAACAAGCATGTTGTGAGAGCAAAGAATTTAACTGTGTTCAAGTAAAGAAAATATTACAAATGTTTTGTGGGAGCTAATCAGAACTGGGAGTGCACCATAGTGCTACTGCTACCCAAAGTATTTTTTAGAGCAGAAGAATAGTTACCACTGGTATCATGATCCATGCTGGAGCTTATGCTAACTTTTTCAGTTTGACAGAGGAAGTGCTGAGAGTAATCAATCAAAACTGGTTCAAGTCCTTCATGAGATTATCCTGATCAGCTTGGTCTTGCTTGAACCCAAGCATATAGATCCACAATAGGAACTTTGTACTTGTTGCAAGGGAGAAGCCCAAGTAGCAGCAGAAGGGGAGGGACAGAGTAATATCCACCAGCCAGCATGAAAATGAGAGATGGGAGCAGACTGAAGTACCACTAGTGTTCTTGTGCATTTCCAAAAAGCTGTGCCAGTTATTTTATTTTTTTTTAATTGTTGCTATGATGGGTAGCAGATACAAGATGGGTAGCATCTCACCTCATTTGCTAGTCTGGTATCTTAATCATGAAGATGAGAACAGGTAGTAATCAGTTCAGACACAGACTTCATCAATATTGACAGAATTAAATACATATTCCATTATAGTACTGGAGACAGACAGGATAGAAAAAGATAATTTAAACTTTTAATAAAATGTTGAACTAAAGAATGTGAAAAAATGAAACAATGTGAGAGTAATAGATCAAGAATACAGTAATTTAGATTTGGAACTAAAGGACAAGCCCTGATCATTCAAGAGTGTAACAAAAAAGCCAGGACATTATAAAACACTGCAGAAAACCAGATCAAATTTGCTCCTGAACAACACAACTGCAAAAGCACTTCCACATAAATGCATAGATTTTTCTGACTAATGGGTTCATTGCCGCTATATCCCCTTAAGAACAAAAAGACTTAATCTTCCATGCAGTCAATATGAGGGTGTTGGGCCCAGATACAGCATGTGTCTACTGTAAAGACTGAACAGATCTTGATAACTGGGCAAATGCCAAAAATCATGAAAGACAAAGCAAACCTTAGTTGGTAGGGGCAGTATGAAGTATGGCTACGGTCCCATCTCATATGACCTTTGCCATGATGCTGGTTAGTAGCAGGAATGGTAGAAACATGTAAAAGGCACTCATCCAAGAAAACAGGAATACATCATATAAGGAATTATGGCCTATTTTTCCCATGTTGCAGCATGGACAACACTGTTGGTTGTCCATGTTTACTTCAAACAAGTTGCTACTTAGAGTCCCTCACCTCTGGAAAAGGCTGCATTGCCATTCTGTTCAGCTCCCATTCATGGGGTATATAATAGGTGCATTCTGGCTCATCCTGTCCATATGGTTGTTGTTTGTATGAAAGGTGAATCTGCATACCTCTGAAAATACACCAAACCTACAGGTGCTGAGAGGAGCAGAGGGAGAATTTTATTTCTTCTTCTTCTTTTTCCATACACCAGCTTACAGTAGAGCTGTCTGATACAATCTGCACCCACCCAAAACCTGATCAAAGATTTAAAGCAACAGCCACATTGCACACACTCAATATGATGCTAACTTTCCATTGGAGACCAGATCCACAACTCCCCAAACAAGAGTTGTGGCATCTGCAATCAATACTTCAGTGAACGAGTAGGGGTGGGGATCAGGGATGTAAAGCTAGCACGTCCACTGGGATCAAGAGCCTAAACCAAATGTCTGCATCACGTGTTGCTGACCAGATGTATCGCTTCTTCAAAGTGCGCGTTTAAAGTCTGACAAGTAACAAAACTATGATAGCAGGGGCCATATATGGCCAAGGAGGCACAACTTGAGGATGGCTACAACTAGCCAAGTACAGATGGAGCACACCAAGTGTTGGATGGCTTCTGCTCTAACAACTGGAAGGAAACCCTTCTCTACTTTGTTTCTGGATGGGATGAACTTCATTACCTAACAGGGAAATGAAGCGTCTCCAACTTAACACATAACTGCAAAGAGATAAGAAGTGTCCTACTGTACAGAGCATTTGGATCTTCCCAATATTAACCAATCCTACATGTAAAAAAAAACCACCTCACAAATGTCATGCATTTAGTAAACACATGGGACACTATAGCAAACCCCAATGAAAAAATGTAGAAATTAATAACTTTCATGTTAACCATAAAAATTAAGTACTGATAATAATGAAAGATAATGGAGATGTGAACATTAGTGTTAGCCAAGCCTATAGCAGATAACTAAAGGATCTTATGAGTAAGGGTAGGATTGATGTCAGAATAGCTATATGGAAGCAGGAGAAAGTGAGAAGAAATTAACATTCCACAGTTCAAGTATGGGGTGGTGTCCTCTACCCACTTAGGGAAGTATCTAGAGTAGAACCTGAAGCATGTCTCTTGAAATGGGACTGGGTTGATAAACCATTTGCTTAAGAATACACATATCTTGTGTCTTAAGGCAGGAGAACAAGACACTTGTCACTGATGCCTTCACAGGAGGCATATCCAAAACTCCAAATGGTATCCCAAAGTCATTATCAAAATCAGACACTTTTCTGTGGTGATAGCAATCCAAGCTGATCAGAAACAAGTTAGTCAGTTCCCTAAAAACAGGATGGTAGAGAGGTATCTGGCATCTGGCACAAACTGCCTGAGGCTTTGCTGTCTCACCCTAAATGGCAGGAGATGAAATCTCTGCAAACAATGTGAACATTTGGGTGACAAAATAAAAGGGAGGCTGCTTTTTCTATAGAGGAAATGGAGTTACTTTACCATGATGCTTGACAATAGGCAGTTCACAAACAGAAAGCCCATGAAAAATAAAATTTTGAGGCTAAGCCATCCAGTTTCCTTTCCTCTATTTGTCCATTGTGGGTGAAGTGCTACCTGAACTGAGAAACCTCAAAGATAATTGATTAAGCTGCTCTTTTTGATACCACTTCGCTGGGCAAGTTCAAACTTGGGGTTGAATGCACTACCTGTTGCCCTCCTATCAAAAGTAGGGGAAGGAAAATATTTCAGTAACTCTGTACTTGTTCACAGAATTTATGAGGAATCGTTCAGATGACAAAGAAGCATCACTGAGGAATTTAGTTGCTACATTTGGATTGCTGAATGCTGTTTGCATGATACTGTGAATGTAACTGAAGAGTGAGGCAAAGTTCCTTAAGAATACAAAAAACTGCTTATTCCAAGGCAAGCCACTAGTTCATGTAGCTCAGTATCATTTATCTATGGCAACAGCTCCCAAGGGCTTCAGACAGAAATTATTTGCAGACCTATCTGGAAAGACCAGGTACTGAACCTAAGATCTTCTGCATAGAATACATGTATCTACCTGTAAGCTAAGGCCTTTACAGCTATTGGTGTTGCTACTTTAGTGTTTAAGTGTATAGCTTATTGTTCAGGGGCTGAGTTTGCTACTACAGCAGCAGAGAATCTTTGCTATGCTGCATGTATATTAGACCTGTATATTGGTACAGCGGATATAGAATCTTCCTGCTCCCATTTTTTATTTTTTATTTAAATGAAAAGCTGCAAATTAAACCTCTCCCACCCAAAACATGCCAGTATTTTAGTGTCCTAAGTTTTATTGTGCATAAAGCATTCATTATTTCACATTGTAAAAAGTAACCACACATTTATTCATTCACAAATTAGATTATCTTTATCATACACCAATATATTTTAAAAAACAGTCTGATATCAATATAGTTTTGTTGTTTGCATTTGTGAAGTAGAGAAGCTGACAATAGCTTCATACAGTTTTTCTCAAGTATTGGCATAAATTGAATGTTTTAAATAGAACTGCATTTTGCAGGCAAATTTCAATAGGAATGTTAGCATGAATACAAACAGAATGATGCTGATAGAGCTAAAAGCATGATGGCTTGAATTAACTACTAATTAAAAACTAGATTAATCATCTCTAAAATGTTGGATAAAGAGAAACTACAATATGTTATACGGGTAAATTAAAATGAAGTATTTATACAATAAAATTGCAAGTGAAATTAAAGAAATAATTCATATGCTATTTGGAGGTATCTGTTTCTTATTAAAAAGTGAAAGGAATTCCTCTTGACATTTTATACACCAGATAAGCAATATTATCTAAAATTATAGCAGAAATTTATTTTAAAGGACTATACTTCTCCACATTTCTCTGTTCATGCTTCCAGATTCCACATTGAAGCTTCTTTGATATTTAAAAGCTTTTTTGAAAGAGAAAGTGTCATTTGTTCAGTTAATCTTATACACAGAGCAATTTCACACATATGGCCCTATTTCCATAGCAAAGGCAAATTAGGAGCCTATAAGCTTGTAAATAACTATATTTTAAAGTAGAGGGCACTTTCATTCCAAACTGAATAACCTGAACTAGTAAAAGGCATAATTGAGAGGGGGGAAGTAGGGAAACCCTGTCTCTTCAGCTGCAGCAGATTTAAAGCACATTGCTAAAGTAACGTGGAATTAAGCACTTCACTTATAACATTGGAATTCTGCACACATTACATTATTTCTATGAAGATATTTTACAACATAGGAATTTATTTAACTGACAGAAGATATTAACATTATGGTATCAAATCAGTTTCTCCTTCCTGGTCCTTAAATTCAAGGTTGTACTCTAGCTTCATCCAATCCTGACTTCAGCCACATTGCCTCCAGTGGTCTTTGGTGTGCATCCTTTCTTTCACCGGCTCTACGAGTTTGATTTTCTGTTTTTTCTTGAGACAAACAAAAACACTCTTATCACACACAGCAGATTAAATTAACAATGTACAGAACTAACTTCTTACCATCATCATTTAAAATTTTCCAAACCTTCTGTGATCTTAAACACATTTCTTGTAAGTAAAAAGTATCAACATTATTTCTCCTAAATCCAAAACAATAAGGTGTTTTAAAAAAAGAACATCCTTGATTCATACTTAATGCACTCACTTTCCCATCCATTGTACCACTCCAACTTCACCTTGCTTACTACAAAGGCTCCCCCCACCTTTGTGGATTCCCTTTAGGGGGAAAAAAATGTCCATCCATTACTATGCAGTATATAAAACTCTGCATATATACCTCAGAATACATGTATTTATTCTATCCCTTAAACTACAGGTTTGTAAAACCTATATACATGATAACTACATACTCATGGCACACTCAGCTATTAAGATAGAGCAACAGCTCAAAATAATTTTCTTACAGAATCCCTTTTAAAATCACACTCATATGTTTTAATACTGATCAACACAGAAAAGTCCCCACTCCTGTTCTACATCTACATGAAACCACTGGGTGAGATCATCCATCAGTATGTGAGTATCAGTATGCTGACAATGTGCATTTATACATCTCTGCCCTGGGCCTTCAATGTGATGCCACTGAGATGTGTTCTCAGTGCTTGGATACTGTGTTGGTCTGAATAGGGAAGAACCAGCTTCAGGCTCAACCCTAAAAAGACTGAATGGCTGTGGGTTAGGCACCCCAGCTAGTGATTTTCCATCATTAAATTTGGATGGGGTAACATTCCCCCCAGCCAAAGTTGGTGTACAATCTGGGGGTCCTCTTGGACTTGTGGGTCCTGTCTGAAGAGCAGATGGCAGCTGTGGCCAGGAGGGCCTTCACACAATTATAGCTTGCACTCATCTCTAGATCAGAAGGCACTGCTCATGGTCAGTCGTGCCTTAGTCACCTCCTGTTTGGAATACTACAGCGTGCTCTACATGTCCTTAAAGAGCATTCAGAAGTTTCAGCTGGTCTAGAAAGCAGCAGCACATGCAGTATTGGGCACAATACATTACCCTCATGTAACATCCCTCCCATGTGAGTTGCACTGGCTTCCCAGGTGCAATTCAAGGTGCTGGTTGTCACCTTTAAAACTCTACATGGCATGGGGCCAAGTTACTTGCAGGACTGCTTCTCTCTGGCGGTTTCTATCCATCCCACCAAATCCAGCAGGGTGGGCATGATTCAGATCCCATTGGTGAAGCAGTGTCTTTTGGTGGGCCCTAGGAAGTATGCCTTCTCTGTCATGCTGCTGTCTTGGGGAATAGCCTGCCCCTGAGGCCCCACCCTACTGGCCTTCCAGAAGGCTGTGAGACTAGCTTTTCCACAGGGACAAGGACTGGAACCAGGTGGTTAATGGAGATCTGGCATGAGAGTGATTGTCTTTGATATATCAGTAATGATATTTTTAGGGCCCTGTACTTACTTTTTATTTAATGGATTTGTAAATCTTGGATGTTTTTATTTCTGCGTACTACTCAGAGTTCCTTTGGTAGATGGATGGCCATATACATTTATTAAATATGTGAATAAATGTGAACAACAATGGAATCTGCTTCCAATGGAAGAGAATATATGTAGCTCAGGGCTGAACTGTGGAGTCCTTGGTGCTCTCTGAGCTTGGTTGTTTGCTTGCAGATGTTTCATTACCCAACTAGGTAACATCATCAGTGAGAGTGTGTGTGTGGTTTGCTCCCTGTTTATATACAGTAGCTTGCCCTGCCAGTGTTGGTGGGAGTATGGTTTTCTCCTGGGCAGTTCCTTGATTAGGATATTGTTTTCTGCTTGATTGTTTGCCTGGTGTTAATCCCTGCTTATCGGGGTATTGGCTGCTGGAGAGGATGCGTTCTGGTCTTTTTGTTTCCTTCTTAGCTTTTTTATTGCCTCTTTTGAATGGTGTGTAAATATGGTTTATTTCTATGTGTCTATTGATGGCTAATTTGTCTGAATGCCAAGCTTCCAGGAATTCCCTAGCCTTTTTTGGATTTAGTTTTATTTGGACAAGCTACTGTTTATAAACAGGGAGCAAACCTTATGCTCACTTGCACTGATGATGTTACCTGAGTAATGAAATGTCTGCAAGCAAACAACTAAGCTCAGAGAGCACCAAGGACTCCATAATGGAAACTGCTTCTAATGTCCTGTCTGGTCTATGTAGGACTCTAAGTCAAACTTTGACTTCAACAACATATTTTTCACTGACTGCAAAGGAAAACACTGATGACCCATGTTTATTGTGACTCAATGGAATCTGAAATTGACTGGAGAACTATGGCAGTGTAGTTACAGGGACTAAGAAACTTTTCCTAACTTTAGCTTCAATTGCTTAGTGTGAATGGAAAGAGCCATTTCCACAGGTGAGTGGACTGTTGTATATTTGTCTCTGTCAGTCAAAGGTGTATGTCAGCTATATGCTTTTTCTTTGATATATGTTGTTTTCTTTTAAATGTTTTTAAATTGTAAGCAGCCCAGAGTCACTGTGGAGTCCACCAGCCTTGAAATTGAAATAATAAACAAATGTTTCTGCAATTAGAACCTTCACCAAGATTCAAGAAACTGCACACAGGTATTCCTTGCTTTATGACCCTATTTGGGATTGGAATTTCTGTTGGTAAGTGAAGCAGTAATTAAGCAAACATCACATGACCGTGCTGCTTAGCAATGGCAGTTCCAGCAGTCCCAGTTGCGGTCATTAGGTGAGGACTGCATGGTTGTTAGGTGAGGACATCACACTTCTCCTGCCCTGCATGAACTGCCTCTACTTCAACTCCCTCCACCCAACTCCCTCCCATGCATCTCTGTCCTTTTAGCCACCCTGCACTCTGCCACCTTCCGCCACTGCCACCCCTTGCCACTGCTGCTGCCCCCAAATGACCTTCACCATCTTCTTCTTCCCAATGCTGGCCCAGGATTCAGGCAGTGGGCAGGGGCGCAGTCCCAGGACATGCACAGTGAGTGCAGAAGGGTGGCAATGAAGGGAGCTCACTGGGCCTAGCCAGGGAGGAGGCAGCAGGATGGAGCCAGTGGAAGAGGCAGGATGGCAGCGCAGGCAGGGGAGAGCAGAGGGATGGGCCGGCAGCTGGCCTCAGCTGGGCATGCCCTTCCTCCCGCAGGAGTGGCTCCAGGACCTGGAGGGTCTCCTGCAGCCAGTTCTCCAGGAGTGCTTCCAATGCACTCCCCTATTGTAGGGGAGATGGGCGGGAGAGAAATTCAATAAATAAATAAATAAAATAAATAAATGCGAGCTGTGGAGCATGCACTGCACCTTCAGGAAGCCCTTGTCCCCCTGCTTCCTGCAGTCCTGCCACCACTCCGAACAGCGC